AAACTGTCAGAATATATTACTATTTAGCAGTCTTAAGACTCAATGCTACTACTGCTAATAAATATTAATAAATCTTTATTTTTAAAGGAATAATCACATCTGTTTTCTTTTTAATTTTAACAGTAAACCTCTGTTGTGCAGCACTTTGTTTGCCAAAAAAATAAAAGGGTTTAATTTTCATTTGATTAGGATAAATTAAATTAATGTTTTATGCCTTCATCTGATTACCAGAAAAATTAAGAACATTTTATAGGGCCCTATTATTGTTTAAAAAAAGGACCCTATACAAAAAAAAAGAATAGGTTTAAAATACAGGCATGTGGTTCTTAATTTCTTTTTATTAATTCACCATTTGTAAACTGATATTTACTGTTCATTTTTTTTTTAGAAATATCAATAACATTTGTATTAAAACTATATTCACTGAATGTAATCAAAAAATCGAGAATCGAGAATCGAATCGAGAGCTTGCGAATCGAAATCGAATCGGGACATCTGAATCGATACCCAGCCCTAATATATATATTTCACAAGATGGTACATGATATACAAGTGTATTTGAGTAATTCTATACACAGAACAAGCATATACTTTACATACAAAACAATAATAATCCTTATTTCTGCACTAGTTCATAATTTAATTTTCAAATTTACATTTCGTTTAGAAAGGGTTTGTGGTCAGTCTGCTGAATTTGTGGTGACTATGGTAACTATCATCAAGGAAGCTTCATTAGAAATAACTTTACTTTAAATAAATACTGTAGAAACAAAAGATTATAAGTGGTTTTAAGCCTTTCATAATTCCAGTATTTCTGCAAATTCAGTAAAGTTAAGAGGTAGAAATGACACTGCCATCTAAAATATTTGAAATAAATGACATCACTACCTACCTGTGGCCCTCATGAACAACTTATGTGAGTGGCTTTCATAGCCTCTAGATACATGCAACTCCACCCATTCAGGATTGAGCAGCTTTGCTCTATAAAAATACACACCACACAAAGAAAAATCATCATCACCAAGCCATGTTCAACTGATAAATGGAATATATATACCCCTTATAAATATGGATGCTATACCATGTAAAAGAACACTTACACATATGCACAAACCAGGCTGTGATATGCTGTCAGAGGAGGATAATCAAGACCCCAGTAGTTCAAATCATTATTTGTAGTATTTAAGTACCTAGTTTGAAAAAAAAAAAAAAAACTGTTAGGCCACATTCATATAAGGCCTTGGCCTTATAGATAAAATAACGTGACGTTTAATTTCTACAATATATAAGGAAAGGGAGCTTTACCAGTGCTGGTTTACTTGGCCATGAAATAATAATGAGAGACTAACCATTCATGAACAGGTAGATTGTAAGTCACTTCTTGCCAGTGTCTCTGTGCTTCATAGTCCCCGAACATTGGCTGTTTACCTGCACCTATTCCATTAAATGACAAGCAGAATAGCATGATTTATTAATTAAAAAACGTAAATTTATAAGGTACAATACTATTCATGTATAACATTCTTTCACGAATAATGTTTATCCCCCTTGCTTGTCGTTTTAGTTGAGCTGATCTTGCTTATTTACATATGAATGAGTTGCTCCGAACAATTGCCACTGACTTTGACGTGTCAATACTGATCCTAAAGAAACCAGTGCATCATTGAAAACCAACCTGAGTATGAGTGAAAAGACACCGTCCATCTCGACGTTAAACCGAGCAGCACGCACAGTGAAATAAGGCTCCAGTTCTCCATGTCCGGTAGCCTTTACGACTTTTGATTTACAAATCATAAATCTGCAGCATCGCTCATGCTTTCCAACAGAGCCGAATCGGCTGAGATTCACTTCCTGAAACAATACGTCAGCGGAGTGGCGCTTCGTGATGACATCATACATTAGCAGGTGGGTTGAAGTGATTGAACAGGTTGGGCGTTTGTGCGGTCAACGTCTGATCAATAAATGTGATCCATGGTCTGATCAAAACATGAAAATGTTGGTATTAAATAAGTTCTGGCTCAAATAGAGTATTGTAGTGCAGCAAGTAAAGATGTTGCTAGATCTCCTGAATATATAAGCCGAGATCAAATAAATCTATGGAACATCACCAGGTAAAGACACTGAATGAACTGCCTTTTGCCTATACGAACACTATGTGTATGTGAATGTTTTGATGTTCAACTATATCCCAAAAATGCCTAAATCAACACTGGTCTGTAGGCTACCAAATATCTATTCCATAAAGAACTATTTTGATTTAGCCTTTAATTTTTCTTAGAACAATTTCAAATTTCATTATTACACATTATGTTTATTTATAAAACGCCTTAAAGAATTACAAACGACTGTTTTATATGGATTTTTTGCCATTTGTAATTTTTTATTTCATCAGAATATGCTCACCATGTTGATTTTCAGAATTCTAGCGTTACTTATGTTTGTTGCCTTGGTAACCTGACGATTTTATTTCATTACAGACAATAAATTAGATTAGCCTACACAATAAGATCCAATAATATACCTTTATTAAATTGAAGAGCATTTAGTTAGTTTATAATTTCTTTGTGTCCTTTATTGTCCCATCAATCTTTTTATTTACTCAAAAATACAACATATTAAGTAATATCAGTAGACCTACCTGTTAAGGCATTCAGTGAGTCATCTGTCAGTCAAATTTTGGTCTGAGAGCATTTGCAAAATTGTTGCTCACTTTACAATCATACTTGAGTTCCTCAATTCTCATTTGAGCAGTGGCGTAATCATTAGCATTTCATTAATTTAAAGACTTGGATTTGACAGCTTCTTTGTGGTTGGGACATCTAATAGTTATAAATAATAACCACAGACAAGTGCTGATTTGCAATGACACTTTCATTAGACTACAGTAAGGAGCCTATTAGTCACATCCAACTCAATGACATGTTAATGTCCCTGTTTGCCATCTTTGTCATTTACTGCTTAGTCTCTGCACCCTTTTAAATATTTAGTAACCCACATTTACTGTTGGCGATGTGCTCCAGGAGATGTGAGTGGTCCAAGCTTGTCAGTGGTCCTTATAGTATTGCCCTGCATGTAGCTTCTGTATTGTGTTTTTAAAAGTAGGACTGTTATTTATTTATTTATTTGTTTGGTTGTTCGTTTGTTTTTCACATTTCCAGTTGTAGTAGACTGTAATCATTTTTCTGCTTTCAGAACTGTTTAGACATCTATGGTTTGAAAGGAAGAGAAAAGTAATATTATTGTTGCAAAACAAGGTTCGAGAGAAGCTGTCCCGAATTCTGCTGTGCGAAACCAAGCCCATCTAGCCATGATTAGAGAATAATGTCTAATTAGAAAAACAGTCTTTAATGTAACATTTAATATAGCCTTAAAGAATGACATGACATAACTGTAAAGCAATGGGTCAGGCATGACCCAACAAACAGAACGTTCCCCTAATATTCCCATATGGTTCCCATTTAGTTATTCTTTTGGGAACCAAATAAAAACATTCCTTGTAGGTTATTTTTTTAATGACCTAAAGAGAACATTCCCTGCAGGTTACTTTTAGGTTTCATTTTATAACCTAAAGAGAATCTTCCCAAAATGTTCCCTGCAGGTTTAGTTGTATTTTCATAACCATGTAAACGAAATAAAACTTTGCAGTAGGGCTGCACGATAAATCGCATGCGATATTTAACGCGCATCTATGTTTCTGAGTGATGACCAACAGAGAGATTATTCTAATGCTGAAATTTGTATTTTTCATAAACAAACTGTATTTAGCATAATTTCATGTCTGAAATAAGCTTTTAGACATTAAAGCAGTCAAATTGCATTAGAATGATCAGATAAATCAAATTTTGTAGCTGAAATATTAAGGTTAAGCGTAGTCTTGAAAAGCTTATCATAAACACCTGGGTTTGTTTAAATCTCTCTTTACTGCGCGCCTCTGATCTGCACGCGCTTCTCCAGCACCTGCTTTCTCCTGTCTTCCACAGAAAGCCACGCAATCACGTAATTTAAAAATTAACGGTCATTTCGTTTTACTGACTAACATTCGTTTATTGATCTGTTTATTGAATAATTACTTATTATTAATACATATCCGAGAGTAAATATTGTGATTTCGGAGAGATTTGACTCGTTATATTAGGCTACGACAGTAAATATTGTGATTTCAGAGAGATTTGACACGTCTATATGAAGACAACATGATGACGTTTTTGTTTACTGACCAAAAGAGAGAAGCACATCCCGCTAATAATGTAATATGTTATCCTAGTTAAAGTAAAATAAATGTTATTAATTTTTAATGTCTGTAAAAATAAAATTCACATTTAAGTAATTATTTGGTGCTTAAGAAATGTAAAATCTGGGTTATGGACATTGGTAGGGTGATAGGCCTATACAAGTCACGAAATCTTACATAGGCCTATTAATGGATACATTTAATTTAATTTAATCCTCCCTATAATGGTTAAATGTGCTCGGATTATTTTTATTGATTAACGTTAAACAAGTTTAAAACCATTATTACTGATGTCCATCCGTCCGTCATGCGGGACGCGGGAGTGCTGGATGATTACTGACGTAGGCCTACAGCAGGGTGAGTGATATCGGAGTAAAGAGATTAGGAGAACGTTCTGGGAACCTTGGTCAGGAAAGTTTTCTTAACGTAATTAGAACGTTTGGGGAACGTTCCCGGGATGTTCCCAGAACGTTCCCCTAGCCTAAAGGGAACATTCTCTTTACGTTAAGAAAACTTTCCTGGCTAACCACCAGGGAACGTTCCCAGAACGTTCTGGGAACCAACAATTGTTAGCTGGCATATAGGCGGTGGGAATACGGAGACTCTACACCTGTGTAGCGCGGTGAGCAGGTGGATCCACAAAGGTCAAAGCGTTGTTTAGTTTACCCAGAAATGTGTCCGGCCCCTTGTCACTTTCAAAATGCTCAGCAAGGGGTTTTCCTTTGTATTTCACACGCCAAGAAAAATAAAAAGTTCCCAAAACAGTTGTTGTTAAACGTCTTAAGTCTGTTAAATGTTACGCAACCGAATTAAATGAATATAGCAAAATTCTCAAGATACTGTTGCTGAAAACAAATGGCATGACTGTTCTTATTGAACAACAGTTAAATGATCACTGACATTCATAATTGTTAAATCTGGGGTAAGGCCTCTTTTATTGTTATTTTTATTGATTTATTTTTGTATAGGCCTATAGCAAATAGGCCTATCCAAGGCTCGCTATTAGGCATAAAGCAGGATGCGCTGTAACCTTGCACTCGTTTAAGAGTCAACTCTTTCCCACCAGTAGTCCTAGAAATAGACCCCTCATTAAAACCCGTTGAATCTGAACAATTTCACAGTATCTCTAGTGCAAAACAAATAACATCTAACTGCTCCACGTGCGCGATCGTAATCCCCAAGACAGATGCAAAGAAACGCGTTTATTTAGAGATATGACCACCGTTACTGTAGATGCATCGAAATTTTGCACCCATTAGCAAAAGCAGTCGTATCATGTAATTTATTCCTGTAAACGCCATCTAGTGATAGACTTAAGACATCATCATCATCATCATCTGATGTGCAATAGGCTAATTATAGAGAATGTATAGGCGATCATATGTTTTAGTCTGTGTGATTTATTTTCTTAATCATCTTCTCGGTGTATTTTTACAAACGTCTTTTCGGATGTTGGGCTTTTAAAATGTTTTATTAAGCCCGTATGCCTATGTATCATGTTATAATTATTATTATTTTTGAATGTCCAATTTTCGGTTTCGCTAAAATCGTTGATAAATACATTATAGATCAATCTGAATTAGCTGAGATAGCTTTTACATACCCTATGAGTGCGATTACAAATGCGTTAGTATATGTAACCATTGAGAGAACAACTCCTACACCACCTAATTTGGGCTAATTTGAATAAGGCTTTATTTTTAACAGTAAAATGCAGCAATAAATTACTGAATGTGCTGTCGAAGTCCACTGTGACAGAAGGCATCAGAACAATGTGCTTACAAACATTTACTTTAAGGAATACGGAGACAGTTGTGGAAAGCCCTGTTAGTGCCTTTCAGAAGGTCAGTCTCAGCAGCGTCTTTAGCCTGAAAGTGAATTCAAGAAGCGGCTCCTTTTCTTTTCCCATGGGTATAACTTAAATATAGCCCTAACTCTGGTGCGCCACACACCGTCTACCATTTGCTGTTTGAGTAGAACTGATTAGCTAGACACAACTGTGAAAGAGTGTTGCTTTAATAAGAACAACTTCCCAAACATATTTAGGTCGCGCTACATTAATTGATTACGCATTGATGGCGTAAATGGATACGGCAGCTTCTCGACGTCTATTGACCTTTTTATTTGGAAAGAATGTTGATATTTTTGTAACCTACATTGTCGAAAATGTAGGATTAAGTAAGCTTAGTTTAATTTGTAATTAATATTCTGATTTTGGTAATGGTTAGAATAGCTTTTTGTCTTTAATGCAAGTTTAAGGACGGCTGACTGAAACCGTTTGTGATGGTTGTTTTGCAACCTGAAACTGAGATGCTGTTCTGATGAAATTATTGCCTAGAGTTGTATTCACAAAGAAATAAAAGAAAATTTCCGTATGTACTGTGTTTTTATAACCTAAAGAGAACCTAAAATGTCCTGTTATTAATTCTAAAAAAAAAAGACCGATTAAATAATAGACCATTTCAAAATGCCTTAATCGCAAATTAACTGTCTCAAAATATAATCATGGATATTTCGTTTATCTTTTCATTTAACCTAGCCTATAACACTCATAACTGAAAACATTTATTGTTTTAACATTTCTTCTATTTTGAGATGAAAACTTTTTATCGCATACTTGAATATTTAAACCCATAATATAAGTAATATACGTATGACTATTTAT